AAGAAAAATGAAAATTATTAATTAGATTTAGTTAGACAGAAAAAAAAAATTTTTACCAGTGCATGCACGTTTTCCCACGCTAAATGGCATCATGGCAGGATGATTAACATTACGTAAACGATGATTTTCATCTAGAAATCGTTCTGGTTCGAATTTTTCTGGTTCAGACCAATGTTGTTCATCTTTCATTGCTGACCACATATTAACAAGTATAAATGTATCCTTTGGTATAAAATAATTATGAAAGGTGATATCTTGTGTTGTTGCTCGTGGAAGTAATATTGGACCAGCACAATGACAGCGCATTGATTCAAGTAAAACAGCTTCAGTATAAGACATTCGACTACGATCTTTCTCGCATGGTGGTCGATCTTTGCCAATAACTCGATCGATTTCTTCATGAATATTTTCTTGTACATGTGGATGTGCAACAATATAAAAGATAGCCCAATGAAGTGTATTTGATATTGTTTCTGTACCAGCAACAAAAAGATCTTGAACAAGTGAATCGAGGTTCTCTTTTGAAAAATAAGTACTTCGTTGTCGATGTTGATTCATTTCATCCAAATAAGCATCAACAATATTTGTAATAAATTCATTATCAAAATTAGTTTCACGTTCTCCAACTAATTTTTGTATAACACGATTACAATCATTAACATTTTCGAAAATATTCTTTCGAAATTTTCTTGTAAATGGTAAAAAATTAAAACATGCTATTGTTGCTGTTTGATTGAAATTTTCATTAATTTTTTCAAATAAATTATGCATATTCATGGTTTCAAAATAACGACCAAATGTAAGTGTACAAATATTGTTACATGCTATTTGACTTAACATATTACCAATACGAAATGGTGATGATTGTTTTTCACGAATTTTTTCAGCTACAAAACGTACTTGATCAAGACAACCATTTTCTAAAGATGATCGTCGTCGACGTCCAAATCGATTAAAACTTTTTATAAGAAAATTTTTGTGCTCATGAAATTCTCGACCATATGGAGCAGATATAACACCTTTACCATGTAATGTTTCATGAATCATGTGAAGATACGGACGGCCAGCAAATGTTTCACCATGATCATGTAAAGCTTCACGTATAATTGATGGTGAATTGAGTACAACAACCATTTGTGAACCAAGATGAAGTCGAAATATTGCTCCGTATTTCGACATTTTCGACCAGCGATATATTGTTTCATATGGACGATAACCTAATTGAAGAAGATTACCAAAAATTGGCCATGGACGAGGACCACTTGGAACCGTAGTTAAAGATTCTTTCTTTTCGTTATCATTTGATTTCTAAATTAAATTAAAATATTAAAAGTTTTGTTTTTATCTTATATGAATTACTTACTTTCTGACGCATTATGCTCATGCCCAGCACAGTAACAATGGCGACCAGCACCAAGACTAACATTTTTGTAAAAATTCAATGAAAGACTGATGGTTTGTAAGACATATTTATACATCGGGCCGGAAGTAATCTTTGAACAGTCTAAAATTATATTTCTAAAAAAAAACTAAAACCAGACATAGACAATACGAGAAAAATCAATTGATAAATAATTAATTACCTAGAAGTAGGACCAAAAAAAGATTCTTTTGAAATCATACAGATTTGTTCATGTATTGAATTGACGTCAAAATATTGAATAATGATTGCTTTTTCCTTGATTAAAACGCTATTTGCTGACAAAAATAGATGTTCATCCAAGCAATTTGTTTTCATAATTATTGTAGGAAATTAAATTATTTCTGTTTTATGCTATTTTGACAAATAAAATAAGAACGGTGAATGTCATTTGTCGAATTTACATACTGTTTAATGTACCTCTTTATGAAAAAATATAACGTGATGGCCATCAAATTTCTGGTACCATACTAATGATTAATTATATTGAATACTTTTTATTGAGCATGTCTTGATTTGACCGAGTTATAGGGACGATGTCTTTCTTTCATAAAACAAAGTATGACTTTATCGGGTACAAAGTACAAGTTTGCTTTTACAAAAAAGCTTTTAAAGAAGATTAAATTGTGCAATAATTTCAAAATAGAAAGCAACCAGATTTTGTCATATTGTGAGTCGTAGAATAATCGAAGAGTTGAATGTCAAAGTTTTTTTTTCTTCTGTGTTTTATTATTATCTCCTGGTTTCGTTAAGATTCTAGAAAGAGAGTCCCTGTGAACTTGCACTCTGTTTTTTTTTATAATTCTTATTATACAATGCTTGCTATTTCGAAAACAACAATTGAATAAATTTTGTAGTTAATATTAAAGTCCTATAATTGTTAAAGGATATTTTTAACATATTCTGAAAGTCTTTCTTAAGGCGTTGAACTTGCAAGGAAACTCTTACACAACAAATAAATAAAACTATCGTAACTCTAAAAGAAACATTGATTAGTTTTTGTTGCGTCCGATGTCTTTTTTTATCGAGCTAAATAATATGAAGTTCAGAAGCATGTGGATAAGTTCATAATTTGCATTGATAGAAAATACAAATTTCACATATGACTAATTCTAAATATTATCTATGATGAAACTGAGAAAAAATATTCATATTTTTTTTTTTCTATTAAAATCAAAAGAATCAATCACACTGAACAGTACTACTATGGAGTTATTTATTGAAACATTGATTGCTACTAAAGAGATTATTTAATTTCATGATGATCATTTGAACGTTTGAAATTATTGTACATGATCATTTTTGCTGTGAAAAACGACTGAGCACAATTGATTATTTAACATGATTTATGCATTAGTTCTGAAGTATTGAATAATCTTCAATGATTTTAGCTATAACCGAAATAGCATAACTCTTATGGCTTACTAATTAATAATTTAATAGAAACCGTTTAAAAAAAAGAAATTTCTTTTTTTTTGATTATGCTTTATAAACTAATGAAAAATGCATTAATTCAATTGAATAAAATTGATTCTAAAAGTCATGAACATTGTTTCTATTATATAGATTGTTAATTCAACACCTTCGTTTAATGTTAGAATAAGTTTTCTTCTGATAAATAAATAACACACATGTCAAGATGTTTTGGTTTTTTTTGGTGTTTGACAAAATTCTGTTGAATATCATCAATCTGTTTATTGAAAAGAAATATTTATGTTTGACACATTTAATCAGAAAAGTTCTATCGGACCAGTACTCAAGAAAAGTTTATTTGTCTACTTCATCTATTTATATCATTCTTATAAATATATATATATTAAATGATAAAATAATAAGGAAAATGTATGAGATTGTGTGCAGCAATATAACGATGTAATTCATTATTGAATTAAGATTAATGTCAAAAAAAGTACATGAAAAGACAATGATTCGAGGATCGCTGAATTTATAAATAAAAATATTTTATATTTGTGTATCTTTTAAATTCAAATGATCAGCAATACCTTGAAATGTAAATATGTCAACAAGACCGTAATCTTTAGATGTTAAATGTATATGTTTATCTGATAATTTTTGCTTTTCTTCTTAATCTGTTCTATGCTACTGTATAACTATATGAAAATCTACGTAAGTAGTTTATTAACCACTAACATAATGATTTTCAGAGACATAGTTCTGCGCTTGTAAACACATTAGTATATATTGATATTAAACTGTTAAAGATAATTTCGGCTGAAGTACCATGACCTACACTATGTATACCATTTAAAATAATAATCCAACGATAATAAAGACTTTCTTTAACAGTATCTAATTATGTTTTATATAATCTATCAATGATTCTATTGAGAATACATTTTTTACTTTGACTGAAAATACATATTAGTATCATGTTCTACTTTTGTTGGATTATTCCCATAGCGGAACATTCGATAAAATTTTAAACTAGTCATACTTTTAAATTTCTTAAAATAAAAATATTGTTGTTGAAAAGATGCTATTTATAAAAGAAATTCAATACGTTCTCTTGTTTTTCCTAAAATCACTTTATGCAAACCAATGATAGGGATAATTGTTGTTGAAGCATTTCTTCTATGCCAGTATAATAGATAATTTCACGTTATTATATTATCATCATACTGATTATGTTTTTAATCAAGGGAGAAGAAACTGATTTCTAGAATTTGAAAGTAATTAGAAACTATCGGAAACTATTGAAAACTAATGGAAGTCATTGAAAATCAATAGAAATTGACGGAAATCATTGAAAAATCACCCGTAATAAAGTTAAAATAGAAGTCCGGGTTTCTAATGTTTTTTTATTTTTAGCCTTGCTTTTCAATATTCTTAATGGTTAATCTTGAATTTCTCATGGCTTTTCTTAATCTATATAAGTTTCCAATGCTTTCTATTGATTTTGTGATCCATAATAAATACCATGTGACTTACACTAATTGGTACATACGATTAGAAATCATCAAAAATGAAGAAAACAGTTTTATTCGCCGTTTTTTTTTCAAATAAAATGAATAACAGAATAAATGTATTTAATAAGAATAAGTAGATCGATAATTAGATACATAGAAATATATCTAATAGATTTAAATCATCATGATATAATTGTCCTACATTCTGTATAAGTATTGTTTGATACATCAATATTTTCATATGACTGTATTTTAGTTTTCAATTTTATCCCTAAAATAAAACTTCAGATAATATTGTTGATGATCAAGTTAGTACATAGATTTCTTATTGATATCATATAGTTTTTTCAAACTTCAAAGAGTTTATTATCAATCTAACTTAGATTAAGTACGTTATATAGTTGGGTTGGTTAGACATAAAAAGTACAATGAAACATCATATAATAGTTATGAATAACTGTTTGATTCATCTATCGAATTGCCAATAATACAAGCAATGTACATTGAGAAAAATAATCTTCACAAAATCAGATATATGTTGATGAATGTTCTACTTAGGGGAAAAAAAAGAACTTTTCAAATTAATATTGTACATTCATAAAAGCAATCCGAACTAGTATCTTTCTTTTCAATGTATAAATACATAATATTTATCAATATTTCGCTCGTCTACGTCTAATTAATGAAGAAGTAAATGCTGATGATGAAGATGATGAATGAAATAATTGCTGACATGATCGTTTTTTAAATATATTTTTATCTCTATTTGTTTGATCGCGTAATAAATCAGTTAATACTTGGGATTGATTTATAGATTTATATCGTTGTACCCAACCACCATTAGCATATGTTGTTGCACAACGTCCATAAAATTTAGCTTCACTATTATCATCATCAAATATAGTAGCACTATATATTCGACTACTTCGAATATCAATACTTTTTTGTCGTACATCAGGTAAAGTTGAACATTGTGTTGCTGTAGCCATTGATAAAGGTGATCGAGTTTTTTCTGATCGAACTGTAGCTGTATCAAAAATTGTCTTTTCAGCTGGTACTAATGACATAAAAGCATCACCTGTATTCTTAACAAAATAATGAACTTGATATGACATATAAACTTTCAATAAATACTTACTATTTTCTTCTCACATGGAACAGATGGTTTTCGTCGACTTTTTCCTTTTGGAAATAAGCCTTTCATGCTATATTGACGTTCATGAAGACCTAATAATGTGCTTCCATCAATGTAAGTAGTTGTAATAGGTCTTTTGTCAGTTGTAGACCACATATTATAAGTTGCTGTAGATATTGTCGAATGATAATCAACTAAGTCTCTTTGAATAGCCGATGGATGTCTTGGCATACGACGATATTGATCATAATAATATTCATATTCAGTCATTTTTTTTTTCTTTATCTAATAACTAGCTTTCAAATCACTCAGCTGATCGATGTTGTAATTGTTGACAAAAAAAAATTGTATTTTAAAGGCATGGATGCAAAGAAAGAATAAATAAAAAATGAAAAGTTATAGTAACGAGCAATGGAACGGACGAACAGAGAGAACAACGAGAGTAAAATGGAATTTAGATTTCACTCTCTTTTTTCTCTCTTCAATCAACTTTGAACTAAAATAGAAAATAAATGAGAGTCTTCTTGATGTATTATAATTTGTTTGAACTGTCATCTATTTGCTTATAAGAATCGTTTACATACAACAAAAAAAAAAAGAAGAAAATGAAACGAGTTTTGTTTGCTGTTTTACGTACATAATTAATAATCGTATTTATTCTTTTAGTCTCATGTCTATCTATCAATTAGTATCAAATAACAAATTTGATCAGAAATATGACAAAAAAAAAAAAAAACATTTAGTTGTTGTCAAAATAATTTGAATAAGCAAGACTTTTTCCAAACGTAATAAAAATCAATTATTTGTTGATGTTTGTTTCATCCACCTCAAAGAAAAACCTTCATCTTGCAGTGGCAATCATTATATTTCTTTTCATCAAATATTACTATGTTTAACATCAAGTAGAATAAAGAAAAAGCAAGACATAGAAAAAAAAATCAATTATTGAATCGGTATGGGTGCCCTATTTTCAGTTTTATGTCAAAGATAAAAATATCAAAAAAATCACATATTCAATCAATCAAATTCTTCAATACACTAAATTTCAATTCTGTACATTAAGCCTCCCCCCCCCCCCCCCCGTCAAAAATCTATATCAGCCCAAAAACATCCAAATTAAATGAAACTTTCAGAATATGTTGGGACTGGAAATGGGAGACTATCATAAAATTTTCGACCCGAAATCTTCAGGTTTTAGGGAGATATGAACCAAACAAGGGTCAAAAATGACTCATTTGGCATCCCAAAATTTTCGGT